TTCACAAACATACAGCAAGAACATAAGAAAGGGAAAGTAAATATGTCTGTTTCTCCAAGGAGATTCAACTAAGTTATGAAGGTGATGTCAGTTAAGATTTATGCCAAAGATTCGAAATATTACGATATGAACTTTTTGTTTGGTACCCAGTACAGAAGCAAGGCTCAGAGCTGGAGAAGCTCTGTGTCAGGATTTGCCTATTCCAAAGTTAAAGCAGCATTAACTTAGTGGATGGTTTGGGCATCTTGGGCACTTGCCACATTTTTAACAAGCTTTTAAATTCAACAATGTAATGAAATGAAATCAAAACCTAAAATTTTCAGAATAGAATTTATAAACTGATGTTTGCTGATCTTCACCATGCTCAAATAATGATTTAATCTCTGATGAGCTGGCAAATGCCACAGCAGTTACTACCTTTTCATTGAGAAAGGGAATACAGGTTTTTCTTTGTTTTGGGAAATCAGCCAGTATTCCCAGCAGAGTTGATGACAGAGGACAGAGAGGATATCAAAGCTACCTTTAATCTTCCTGCAATAGTCAYAGAAGTTTGGCCACTTACCAGCCAGCTCAGAGTAGTTCAGTAGGCTCACAGTTCCATCAAGGGGACCCATTTTTATTGTTTCCTGTAAGAGTCAGCCCAAGGAGTTTGGGAAAGTAAGACTAGATAGAATGGTAAATCAATTGATATATAGCCGTCACTTGCTCAATGTGCAGAGAGAATATATTTAGCTGCAAAAAAAAAAAAAAAAAGTTTATTTTTTTCATGTTAATTCTTGATCACTGTGTCTCTCTGATAAGTATATGGAGAGTCATCATTTCACTCAGTTTAATAAAACCTCAAGAAATAACATTTTCTTTATAACATAAAGACATTTAGCTGGTAGTAGGGTAATGAATWTTCACATGGAATGACCTGGTGCTTATATGTCTGCACAACATRTCTGTAAACAAATTTGATAAGTACATTTTCTGTATTACGTTGCTGTAATGTTTATTGGCTTTACATTGGTCAGTATTTATGAATCCAAATTTGTAAGTATGCTTAACTTGTTAAAACTCCTTAAATAAAGAAAAAGTAAACTGTCRAATAAACAGATGCTTACTGTAAGCTTTAAAAACTATTTATTCAGCTGGTATTTTCCCCTGAAGTCCAATATCAGTACTAGAACACTGGAATAAAATAGAAGCCTTTAATAGAGTTCATTATTGTAGAAAGCTGTGACTAACTAATCCATCCTCCCACTGGCCCCTAAGTGCATCTCTCAACTAGTGAACTCTGTTCCTAAAGCCTCYTATTATACTTTTTATTTCTGATGTCACTTTCCCACCCTTCAACACACAAAAGTTGGCATGTGTCTTTGCCTCAACATAGTATCATTATTCCTTATCATTTGCCCTCCTAATTTCTTTTAAATCCACGACAGCATCACCACAATTGTATGACAAATCATATGCTGAGAATATCTTGCTAAATTTAAATGTCATTATAGTAACCCATTTCTTTACCAAAAAAAAAATTGTTTACAAAATTGCTCAAAAAAAAAGAAAAGGAGCTTTTTGAAATCATACTGAGGCAACAGGGCAGATCTAAATAACTGATAGGCCTACTACTTGTTTTGGCAAATTCAGTGGCAAAAACCTCATCATAATTTCTTCTACAGGTCTTTTGCAACAAAGCTGGGCCTTCAGTAGTATTTTGCAATGCTGTCTTTCTATACATTTACAAACTCAGTAAAATCAGCCATCCAAACAGATAAAGACGAAACAATATGTTTGTTATAACCTTTGCCAGTAGCCAACTGGATGTTTATCAGCAAATACATATTATAGGCTGAAAAGAATCAAATTACTTTTAACATGATGGCAGCATCTGATGCAAGATGTTGTCTTCTACAGCTAAATAAATTGAATAAAAATGGACTTGACAGCATGTATTATGAGATGCATTATGGTTTGGAGACTGGGTGTTGCCCTAACAACCAGATGATATTTCCTTAATTAAGTATAATTTCTTTCCTACGTGATCACAAGAAGATCCTGAACTGGTGAATTAATGATCTGGGAAATGCATGTAATTCTCTGCTCTAGGTAACTGTCAGCTTAAAACATGTTAAGCTGTCCTAGGAAAGCTGCAAATATTTGATTTGTTTTCCCTGCTTCTTTTTCTAACATATTAAACGGTGTATATTTAGGGACRGGAATATATATATTCAATTTGAAAWTAATATGTTTGCTGCCTCTGAGCAATTTTTTTGTCCTTGATATATCTTCTCTCCAGTCCATTTTTTTTTAATAGTTTGTTTGCAATACCTGTTTACTTATTTGCTGAAAGACATTTGCTCTCAGATTTTTCCACTGTATGTCTGGCACTTGCGTTTGTTACGCTAAATCATAACACTTCCTTCACTACTGCCCCTTCTTAATTTCCAGGTTCTTAAATTTATACACAGGAATAGTTATCAGTCTGTCACATATGCAATCACAGCAAGTTCCTCCAACTGTACTTTTGCAATGAGTATATTGGCACAGGATTGCATCCAGAAGCTTCATGAATATTTCCAGTCAGGGAGACTYCACACCCTCTCTGGGCAGCCCATTCCAGTGCACTGTCACGAGCACAGCAAAGATCTTCTTCCTCATATTCAGCTGGAACTTCCTGTGCATTAAATTCTGCCCATTGCCTTTTGCCCTATTGCTGGGCACCTCTGAGAAGAGCCTGGCKCCATCCTCTTGGCACCTTCCCTTCAGCTTTTATATACATTGATGCCCTCTGATCATCATCATGGCCCTTCTCTGGACCCTCTCAAACAGTTCCACATTCTCTTTGTATTGTGGTCCCCAGAGCTGGACGCATCTCTCCAAGTGGGATCTCATGAATATGGCAAAGAGGGAGAGAATCACCTTCCTTGACATYACAAGTGTCTGTCAACTTGCCTGTCAGCTTATCTGTTCTGAGGCAATTCTCCATCTTTTAGCCAAAGGAGAAAGCTGCTTGTAGAAGGAACTGAAAACTGTTTATCAATTGAAAATATTAGTTTGTGTGCTCATGGTTTGATACAGTAAAAACACTGATCATTGTGAGCATAGATCTTACAATTTCCTATAATAACCAAAAAATAGAGGTGAAGTGCAAACCCTAAGACCTCRTCTGGCTGCATGGTATCCCATGCCACTGATTTCAAGCGTGAAGCAAGAACATTATTGTCCTTGTGCATGGTTCTTCTTCATACTCTTGCACCGAGTGTGCTGTGAAGGAGCTGCTGGATGGGCTGAATGGGTGTGTGCCCCACAGATTTGCTTSTAGACACTTTCACCCAAAGGGTGAAAATTAGTTCATTAAATGAGTTAATCAATAAGTAAATCTATGTAAACCAGTGCAAATTAATGTRGCCAAGAAAGAGGCCAAAGTGGCAAGTGTTGCAGATTTGATACATGCCCACCGATATCAGCTTGTTTTCCAAGCATTTGTTCGGAATGATGACAGATACTCACTCTATGGAGGCTAGCTGCTGTAATTCATCACATTTCTCTAAGGACTCTTGTCAATACAAGAAATGCATCCCACTCTGTGACATAAAACAAGTGTGTATGTATTTCATATGCTGGGGGTATTACAAAAAGGACTGATGAAGATGAGCCTGTCTCTTTCTTGGCGCTGTGTGCAGGGAATGAGGTYGCAGGGGATGGGCATAGAGAAAAGTATTGCTGGAAGTTGAGGCAAAATTGAATTGGTATTTCCCCAGAATTTTATGGTTTTATTTACTTTTATTTGCAACTGAAAATTTGAAATCTTTTGCTTCTAATCGGATCCTTGGCAAAAATAGCTCTATGTAAATGTGAGACAGACATTCAAGAACAGGTGTGCTGTGGGCTTTGAAATAAGTTTGTTTTACAAGCTGGTTAAACAGGTTTGTTTGTTGGTGGATTTTTTCAGTATTCTCAAAGGGAGAAAAAGTAATTTTTTTTTTGAAAAATATGTTCATCTACATTTTTTACACTTTGTAGTAGATGTAATGTGACTGTGCAAGTTTGTGATGGGTGCACACAAAAAAAGCATACAAAGTGATTATTTCTTATGAAGAAATAGCAGGAAATACCTCCTTATTTCACTATCTGCAAGAAAAAGAGCAGACCATCCTTTCCACCTGACTTTCTCTAACCAACACAGGAAATAGCATTTTACAACATCAAACTGAAGAGAATCAACACTTCACTAAGGCATGATATTGCCCGCATGGGAACCTGGGGAGTGGGAGAGCAAAACCAAGGAATATGAATGGCAAAACTRTCTCTCCAAAGCTCCCCTGACATGCCTTTTGTTTCATTTTTTGGTCAGAGTCTTGTTCTTGCTTTAGTACATATGCTCTTTGTTATTAATGTCTTCGTTTTTTATGCAGAAAAGAAAAATGCTTTTAAGCATGGTGTATGTGTTTTAAGTGGGTGTCACTACCAAACTCACTGTCAATAGCTAGTCTTACTTAATCAGCTATAAAATGTCATGAGTAAGGGTTCTTAACTGAGACTGGAAAAATCCAAGATAATTACCATAATAAGTTGAAGAGCTCTGAGACTGAAGGTTTTAGAAGTCAGAGAAAATTGGGGACATATGTGTTCTGTCTGTAAGACTGTTMCATATAGGATATGGAAAAATGGAAATGACAGGCATTTTGCAATGTACAGTAGCATTCATCATAGAAAGAACATATGCATTTGTTTGTCAGGAGCAATGAAGTAAAAAATGACACTTAATTGGAGCTGACATAAAATGGCCTCATTAGCAGTACAAATAATATATGTGTGTAGCTTGGTTGTCARTAGGAACAAAACATATTTCCTCTGACAGATATATTAGTCTCTTTTAAGATTCATGTCAAGTTTTCAGTCAGGTTCACTCTTTTAGTG